CCCTCCACGGGTAAACCAACAGGCATCAGCGCGCGACTGATGACTGTTCACCTACGACTCGGAAGAGGTAAGTTTGCCACCTTTATATGCACGTACGGTCCGACCATGTGTTATCCTGATGACATGCGTGATCAATTCTACACTCAGCTATCCTCCGTGATACGGTCTGTGCACCGAGGAGCGACCGACTGTCTCTGCTGGGTGAGTAAAACGCGCGCGTTGGGCGTGATGCATCGGTGTGGATAGATGTTATCAGTTCGCATAGCATTGGTTCAGCGAATGCGAACGGTGACAGACTGCTCTCATTTCGTGCCACTCACGGCCTGACGATCATGAACACTCGGTTTACACTAAGTGCGAGTGATATAGCAACTTGGACACACCCACGGAGTGGTCATGCTCACCTGCTCGAGCATGTCATCGTACGTCAGCGTGATATGCGTGAAGTGCGCATGACACGTGTACTGCGTGGAGCCGAGTATGGCACTGATCATAAATTGTTGCGCACCAAACTGTACATATATTTTCGTAAATACATGTATTGCAATCCCGCCGTTAATCGGAGTAAACTTAACATTCTCTCTCTCGGTACTGTGGCGAAACGTACTGAGCTGGAGAAGGCGATGGCTGCATGCCTGTGTGATGTGGACCGCGTAGTCACAGTGGGCGACCTGTGGCAGCACATTCGCGACCAGGTGACAGCTGATGCCGAGGAGACCATTGGGCGCACAAACTGTAAGCGGCCTGATTGGTTTGATGACAACAATGCGACGATTGGCGCATTGGTGGGTGAGAAGAATGCAGCATTTGTTGCACATGTCGCAGACCCCAGTGACTTGGGGAAGAGAGTCAGTTTCACAAACTTCCACGGCGACTGACCCGAGAGCTCCGTAGCATTAAAAATGCATGGTGGACGGAGAAGGCGAAGCAGATGGAATGCTACGCCGAAGGATGCCAACACAAGGCGTTCTTTGACTCCTTGAAGGCGGTGTATGGACCGAGATTGGAGCCGCTGATCGATGGTAATTCAGGCGCTACCTGCACACAGACTGCAGACATAATGCAAATCTGGCGGAAACACTTTGTCTCTGAAATAATCGTTCAGAGCTCGACTGGCCTACATTGAACCGCCTCAAGCAGCACGACGTGAAGACCAGTCTGGCGGACACGCTGATACTGGATGAGACGCAGAGAACACTTGCTCAGCTGAGAAATGGCAAGTGTGCAGGGGCCGACGGCATCCCACCTGAAGTACTGAAACACGGCGGAGCCGCGTTGGTGACTGCGCTGCAACACTTGGTGCAACGTGTATGGATTGAGGAGGAGGTGCCTCATGAATGCCCTTGTGCTACCATTGGACAAGAGCAAAGGGAGCAAGCAATGTTGCACGAATTATCGTGCCATCAACTTGCTGAGTTGTGTGGGCAAGGTGATTTCCCGAATCCTGCTCAACCGCCTCGTCAGTCAGGTTGTGGAACCTAACGTGGCGGAAGAGCAGTGTGGATTCCGTTCGGGTCGCAGCACTATAGATATGGTGTTTGCGGCTCGTCAGTTGCAAGAGATGTGCAGAGAACAACACCAGCCATTGTAATCGCTTTTTTGATTGCATCAAGGCATTTCATATGGTGAACCGGGAGGCATTGTGGCTGGTGTTGAGTGAGTTTGGTTGCCCGCGTAAGTTTGTAAGTTTAATTGAATGTCTGCACAGTGGCATGCGGGCGAGGGTGCAGCTGAGTGGAGAGACCTCGGATGACTTTGCAGTTTTTACTGGTGTGAAGCAAGGCTGTGTCTTAACTCCTGCCCTGTTTAATATATATCCTCACGCAATGATGTCTTGTGCTTTTGACGCCGCTTGTGCTTACTGTGTTCGTGTGGAGCACCGTATTGATGGTGGGTTGCTGAATGTCCGTAGTTTCGGTGCGAGAACTCTAGTCTGTGAGACAATTATCCGTATGTTGCTGTCTGCTGACGACTGTGCGTTGTTTGCACACAGCGCGGATGAGTTGCAGCACATGACTAGTGCTCTGGCTTCGACAGCGGCCGAATTCGGGCTCACCATCAACACAAGCAAAACTGTCTGCCTCTTTCAGCCTTCATCGGAGGTGCAATCTTCAATGCTGCCACGAATCAGCATTGGTGCTGAAGTACTGGAAACCACCTCCCACTTCTGCTACCTTGGGAATGTGGTGTCGACTGATCAGCAGCTACACAGTGAGCTGCGTATCCGCGTCTCGAAGGCAGCGGCGGCATTCGGGAAGCTTGAGTACCGAGTGTGGAACAACCATCAGCTTACCATTGGCACGAAGCTGATGGTGTACAAATCCACGGTGCTGCCCGTTCTTCTATAAGGCAGTGAAACGTGGACGATATACCGGCGAGATGTGCGATATCTCGAGCGGTTCCATCAGCAGTGTTTGCGACGCATTTTGCGCATCAGTTGGGGCGGCAGAGTTGCAGACATGGAAGCGTTGCGACAAAGTGGAATGTATACAGTGGATTGTATACTTTTACTGTGACACCTGAGGTGGCTCGGTCATGTGAGCCTTATGGATTCGACTCGGATACTGAAACAACTATTATATACTTAGCTGCCTATCGGAAAGCTGCGTGTGGGGAAACTAAAGTTACGTTACCAGGACATGATTAAAGTGAGCCTCTCACGTTCTAATCTTGATTGCAGGTCATGGGAATCGAAGGCGGTTGATCGGTGTGCATGGCGCGATCTCATCACGAAGGCAGTTACTGAAGTGCGGGAGAAAGACCTCATGAATGCAGAGAAGCGGCAAGCATCGGTGGGTTGTACTCCATTGACATCGAGCGCATGGTGCTGTAGCACATGCGGTCACGAGTGCCTGAGTCAGGCAGGCTTAGTGAGTCATGAGCGAGGCCACTCGGGACCACTACCGAAGCGAAGACGGGTCCTGCAGAGAACGTAGGCAGAACCGGCGCAGCGTTTGTAGGTACGCTGCATTCGATTTACTAACAGTGCGCTTGCATACTAAGTCTATTTGTTTCAGGTGGTGGGTTTTCAATTTTGTCCTAATGCTTTTCTTTCCCACATAAATGCCTACTTATTCTCTCTTCTATACACTTACACACGTCGCTTAAGCCAATTGTAGTTGTTTCGATAACATTTTCGTGTTTGTGGCACTTCCGTAAAATATACTTTCTGACCTTGTGAACTTAACTCGTATTCGTTGGTAAAGAACTTATTTCATATGCTCACTAATTTAAGATTTATGTCACCGTTTCTTAATGCACTACTCGATTTATTTTGTTGGTTATCATTCTCTCAAGTGATTGGCTGTTGTTTGATATCCCCGGTGTGGTTGCGCTTGATGTGCGTGTTGACAAGGTGCCTACCTGTCTATTACCCACTACCTCGTCCATACTGGCTCCAGAAGACAGTTGGTCGTTGCTGGAGAGGACGGGGTGCACGGTCCTTGTGGCCGTGTTAGGCTCGAAGAGTGGTTCCATGCACTCAGTGTGGAGCGGGCTACGGTACAGCCACCGCCTTGTGTGCGCTTGATTCCCAAATACAGCGTGTTTGTGTTTGCCTGTGAAGGAGTGTGGGTCGGCTCCGTTGATGAAACGTGGCTCCCATCCACATGCCTCCCGGTCTTATTCCTTCGGGTTTACACTGGATATGGGGTGTGTGGTTGGAGCTGTGGGTGTTGCAGCGCAAACCACCCATGGTCCCTCTGTAGGCGCAGGCGTCCTGTGGCTGGCCATAGTGACAGACAAATCTCAAACCGGATGCCGCCAACCATATATATATATATATATATATATATATATATATATATATATATATATATATATATATATATATATATATATATATATATATATGAGCATTATGCATGGTCCCCAATTTCACTGCACGTGGATGAAGAAGGGCACAGATTCGATTGGACCAAAACAGAAGTCCTGTCACGAGATGAAACGAGAGGAGAAGGGGAGTTTCTGGAGGCTTAGTTCTCCGCAACGAGCTCAATCAATATGGTGGTGAAACAAGTGGAGCCAAACTGCCAAGCTCGGAGAACCAATGAGAAACTGAACCGTCACTCCGAGCAACCAGTATTCCGAAACATGAAATAGTTGAAGCGTGTTTTTCACCCTCAGCTAGGGTGTATTGAGGATGAGAATAACCGAACGATAAGACATGTTTGCTGCTTATCGTCTTCTTCCACGGGGTATTCGATATATGCTACATAGGAGTATGTGCCATCGGGAATGACCCACTTCGGAAATGAGTAGTGCTCCCAAATGCACCCCACTATTTCTGACTCCAAACCATTCCATCTGGCGTTCTTGCTTTTGCAAAATCATCTTGTATGCTTTCTATATTTAATAATAAAAGTAAGTTGTTGAGGTGGGTAGAGACAGCACGGACGGTAGTTGGCTCCCGTTGTGCAACTAAAGATAATTGGAAATAACAAAAACGGGACAGATAAGTATGACCAATGTCATTGGATTAGTCAGTTGGCAACCCAGTAGCAATGTATTGGCCAGCAATATAACGAAGAGCGTCAACGAATATAAACAAACAGGAAAGTCAGAGAGAAAAGTTCACATCATCGAAAGCAAGAGGCGGATGCGGGCAGGCAGCTGATGCGCGACTGAGATGGCAAAATAAAATGCGATATAGAACACATTCGTCAAGCGAACTGCATTGCGAAGAGCCACTACACAAGCTGGTGACAAATCCCACTAACTGATATAATTACATGTGAGACAAGTACATTCAGATGGGAATGACAGAAGACCGCAAACAAATGTCCAGACATTTGCACATAGGCACTAAGTGACGGGCTGTTGGATGTGCTACGAATAGCAACCACATTAGCTAAGCAAAAGGATGCAGCAAAGTGGCAACTCGACAACCTATTTGATATACGCCACATTACATAACAATGCGCGTATCGCCTGGTTCAGCTGAGTTTAAAGACAAAGTAAAGTGTCTGCTAGAAAGTGACGCAAATATGAGGAACACGTACTTCATCTTTTTGAAAGGGACACTGCCCAAGTCGATATCGAACCAAGTGAAACGACCATCGAAAGTGCCAGCGACCAAGTGTTCCCCTGATTGGGTACAAACATAATAAACAAGTTGGCATGGAAAACGCCGAGTTACATAAGCGTCAATAGGAATGGAACGCGAGTCATAAACAAAGACCACAAGTCAGTCGTAAAATCCACAATTGTACCTAAAAAGGCAAACGGGAATTGAGACAAGTGATCTTAGACAAGACTGAGACACCAGGCGAGTTGAAGAAGACGTATCGGAGCTTATCGATTTCAATATGTCACATGCGCCCTTCTGTTATCCGAAGTGCGAACCTATACATAAACCACAAATGAGATTTCATTTAGTCCCAGTGGTTCACACTTCACGCAGAGACAGACATCAAAGTCTGCCAAAGAGGAAACCGAGGTGTGATTCAACGGTTGCTCAGAAATTTAGCCTCCGACCATAAGGCGACAAGAGCTGACGTAAACTGTGTACGATGGTTAGTACTTTGTGAATGAGACACAGGATGCCCCATGGTCTACAACAAGAAGATGCACCAAGCGGAATACGAGTTCACTACGGATTGAAGCAACCGAAATTTGTCTACAACGTTGTAAAAGGTAATAGAGGTAAAGCGGACCAGATTCGAGCGCAGTGCAGTTAAGAGGGAGATGAAAAATGCTTATATTGACGAGAGTGAATGTGAGGATAACATTAAAAAACAAAACTTCATACAATGCAGATGATAGAAGATTGTATTCCTCAAAATTGACGACGGGGAAAGTATGCACATAGGGATGAAGTGTGATGATCGGTTAAAAACTACTGGGAGATGCCCTCTGGTGTGGGAGGATAAGTGCTCCGTAGACGAGCAGGTCGACATGAGAACTATTCTTAAAACCGGCATATGACTAAGCAAATTGGTGTTGTTGATACTACCGTAGGAAGGCAGTCTTCTCTGGTTGAAACGAGAAACAAAGGAAAAATCCCTCCTTTTATTTTCCTGAAGTTGGTCAAATAAACGCGGATGAGGAGCTTTTGAAATTATGAAACGGACAAGTTGCTGTCTAAAAAAAGGTAAAATCATATCTGAAACGTATATTTCCGCTGAAAAAAACGGAATAAAAAAATAATGTGCCGTACTCTCCGGATTATAATGCGCATAAAGCGAAACAAAATAGTCGGAGAGGTCAAACTGATTTCAACTCACTAACAATAACTGTCAATATTGTTCATTTGTAACATACATAAACAGAAAAATATACTCACTTTTTCAACCATTCTTCTTCAGTGTCGGAGGTTAACAGTTGGGCGATAGCGGTATCAAACAAGCCCGGATCCCTCTTGTCATCATCTGACTCAGTCTCGTTGCTGTCGCTTGGTTGTTCATTGATGATTCCGGCATTCGTGAAAACATGGACGACAGATGATACTGATACCTTAGCCTAGGCATCGACTATCCATTGACAGATAGTGGCGTAACTAGCCCGGCGTTGCTTACCTGTCTTGTTAAGTGTGTGCTCACCTTCTGTCATACAATGCTCCCACGCGGCTCGCAAGTTAAGTTTGAACGCCCTGTTGACACCAATATCTAGCGGTTGGAGTTCTTTGGTTAATCCTCCCGGAATGATGGCAAGCTCCGAATTAGTTTTCTTCACTTGGCGTTTGACAGTTTCTATGAAAGGGGCGCACATGAAGTCGTAGATGTGTGGAAAAAGCCATCCGGTCTCCTGACGTAAGCCTCTTAGTCACTCGCTCATTTTCTCCTCGTCCATCCAGCCTTTTGGGTTGACCATGACGATGACCCCAACAGGAAACCTTTCTTTTGGCAGTCTTCTTCTTAAAAAGGATCATGGGTGGTAGTTTCTGACCATTAGCCTGGGAACCGTGAACTATGGTGAACGATCATTTCGCGTTCTATGTGGTGCGTATGGACACAGCAGACGTCCCTGTTTTTTCAAAAGTACGGTTCACAGGAATATCAAAGCTGAGAGGAACCTCGTCCATGTTTGTGATGTGGTCTGGCTGGATTTTTTTGGTGAGCTTGTTCTTGCAGTAAGTGCGGAAGATGGCCAACTTTTCTTCGTAATCCTTTGGCAATTGCTGCGAGGTGGTAGTTCTTGTGAGGATGGAGAGGTAACGACTTTTCATAAAACGGAAGCACCAAGAAAGACCTTGAAAATCGTTCATCTATATATCGCATGCCATCGCTATTGTTTTGAATCGAATGGAGACTGTAGAGACGCTCCTACCTGCTGTTCTATGTTCAGTAATCCACCGCTCAATTTTGTCCTCTAACTGTGGCCATCTTGCTTTGTTCCCTCGGAAACTCTTCTTAGTCTTCTTTCCTTGGCGGAGGTCATCATCTTGCTACTTCCACTTCCGTAGCATTGATTCATTAATGTTGAATTATTTCGCACTTGCTCTATTCTCATGTTGTATTGCGTGGCTGATGGCCTTGAGCTTGAAATAAGCTTCATAAGCATGTCACTTAACAGGTGTCATTTTGGGGTCCTTAATTACCGGTATGTTGAAGCACAGTACGTAGCAGGAAAAGTGTTATCGTGCTTGACCTCATATGTTGACCAGATTGTATGTTATCACGCATTTCTCCGTAAGTGCACTGTTACTCCCTCCGTAGTACACGCACGACGACGTACGTTCCAGTTGTCTATCCGAAAACCTCAATTTGGACGATGATGAGTGAAGCTCCCACGGGCGTCGCCGACTGTCTGGATGACCGCATGTCTTTGGAACACTGATGTGAGTGCTGATCGTGTGTTCAAACACTCAGCTGCAACCAGCGAGATACAGGTGCGTGTTTTGGACAGTGTTTGCAAGGTACATTGTTGGAACAAGTGAGTCTGCCGGGTGGAGTAACCATCACATATACCACAGTACGTGATATCAGCGTGGAAGACTGAACAGTTGTTTGGTTTATCGTTGTCAGAAAAGCTCGAATCAGTTGGCTCCTGCACAGAGTGCACCAGCCCCAAAACAAGTCTGTCTAGACAACATAGAAAACTGACTCCACGAGGTTCCTAACCAGCGATTATGCTTCGGCAATCAAAGTCGTAATAAAACATTTTGACAGGTCTTTAAGCGCAGTGTGAACATAGAAATTGATTCGACGTCACTAGGCCTCAGCATAACCATTCGTACATAAGGCGCCCTACCGACTTTTTTAGTAAATATAAGGATTTTAAGTGCGCCTTATAGTCCGAAAAATACGGCACAGTAAGTGTATCCAGAACAGCAAGGTTCGTAACGCAACGCTATACTGGGTGGTGCCCACTGGCCCTGTGATCTATGGTTAAAGGTAAGACAAACCCAGTATCATAGCCTTCTATGCTTGGGTTAGAAATGGAATGATGCCCGGATTCGTGGAGGAATCCGGGTAACTACCCGAACATTTACTATGCGGTGATTTACTTCACAATTGTCGGTGTGCTGTTTCAATTCAATCATAGCAGACATGGGCTTCGCTACGTCTGTTGGATCTATGTCAGCATGCGGATGGATGTTTAAACCTTTCAGTTTACTGAGACGGGATAATATCAACTTCGAGCTGACTTCTTCAGCAAGCGTTGCACTTATAAGCCGAAAGTTACCTTCGTTTTTTCTCTCCGAGATGGGTAATTTGTCTCACTTTCAGTTTGCCTCCATCCACGTCGAGAAGCCTATCAATCAGAATGCAAAAATTTGGCGTCGTGTATGTAGCGTAATAGAAGACTGCAATCAGAGGATTCAGGTGCGTGAGAGACCAGGTCACTGGACAAAGTTCTCGGATTCTTTCTAACGGTAGTCATCGCTTAGCATATCGCACATCGGACCTGAAGTGTCCGTCGAAGAAAACGTAGGAGGCGAAAGTACGCCTCTCGGAGTGCCAGGATTTTGCTCTGTGAATAAATTAGCTGGAGTACAAAGCGGATGTGCCTCTGTTTGTGGTGCGGAACAAACGGAGCCGCGTATTACAAAGCGCCTAATTCTACTGACCCACTTAACGGACTTATCAACTGCCTTTGGCGCAAGTTTAGAGTGGCGTTGTTTACAAACGGCTTTAACAAAAGCTGTGCGAAATTTCTCGAACAATCGGAAATCAGTCCACGGATGATAGACCAGTGCATTAAATATGAAACTTTACGTTGCACGAACTGCATGCAATAGTGGTTGTGCGATGGTCAACGAGGTTAGAACAACTACCGCTAGGAGTTTGCCTCGTCATTTCGGAAAAAGTTAACTGATACGGCTGAATCAGGGTACTATAGCATCACAAGAACTAGATTCAACTGACATAGGTGTTCACGATAAAATAATCCAGAAACACCAATGATAGTAAATTACACAAAAAACAAGAGGTAAAAGAATTTCAACACTGTAAAGGATGAGGTTAACTGGTCAGATGACGAAAAGAGCGAAATGCGACCCAGACAGCGCTATCTGGGCCAATTAAGTTTAGAAATATGACCATGAAAAACAACCAGTACGCAAACCCTGTCTTTGAACCAGCGGAGCTCAAACCCCTCACATTCTCAAGGAAGCTACAGGAAATAGTGTTAGAAGAGGGAAACAGGGTGTTCGTGTTTGGCGAATTTTTCACCCGTAGCTAAACACGTATACCACTCGTTGGTGGTTGGTCCTGCCCGTCTACATAACATTAGATGAGGTATAGAGAAAGTGTCTGCAGGCTGTCAGAAAGCAACCATTAACATAAAGTAGAAAAGGAGGATCACGCAATGAGGATACTAAGACAATGACTGTCTGTGTCTGAATAGCTTTAAGCATATCCCGAAGAGGAAAATGAGGGGAAAACTTTCGGCAAACAATTTTTTCGATTAGTTCACCATCAGGTCGTTACAAGAATAGACGTTAAGTTGGAAACGTTAGATTACTGTACAGCAGAACAATTGATTAAACGATTCAAAAGGGTTTACCGACATTGGTCAGGTGACTAGGTCACTGATGTCTTACGAGTGCGGGGATGTGATCCGTTCCTTTCGTAAGTGGCTGGCCAAGGCAATTGTAGCGATTGAAGCATCTTCTTTTGGATGCATAAGTCTTATGCATACCGCCTCTGTGGTAGCAAGCAAACGGTTCCTTATTCTATGGTTCGGGTGTGATGGTACTTTGTACACGATGTCAAAAGCTGTTTGTCAATCTGGTGTCCGGTGTCTATCAGATGGTTTATTATTGAACTGCAGTTGGTTCTGTTTGTTTGGGTGATGAGCCAATTCAGGAGATGTTCCTTGATACACTTACCCAAGTGTCTGGTCGTTCGTCCAATGTACTTAGACCTGCAGGGACAGGTAAACCGATAAATTATCATTTACTTGAAACGATCAGGTACTTGGTCTTTGAATCGTGGAACAAATAAGGGTTGTCTCGTATAAATCTCACTTAGATCAGCTGTGTTAAAAGTCTTTCTGCAGCTTTGTATCAGCCTGCGTTTACGGATCTCTGCTGCGTCGTCGCACTTGAAAAGAGTCAAAAACAGTTGTTTCTTTTTGACCGTTTGCGTCTTTGGTTTGGTACTATTATGCTTCATATGAGTGTCAATGAAGCGTTCAGGATATCCATTCTCGAGAAGCGCTTGTTTGATCCGCTGCAGTTCGTCCGCAGTTACAGATCTTATATGCGCAGTACGTTAGGGTGGGTACTAACGTTCTTTGGCGGCTGAGTGGCATAAAGCTGTGGAATTGCGTGTATTCACCGGTATGATTTTCTGTACACACTTATTTGTATTGATCCATCCTCTCTTCTAGTTAGTTTTGCATCAAGCAAATTCATATGGTCGTTACTTTCTTCATCAATTGTAAATGCTGCGTTTGGATGCGCTTTGTTGAAACATTCGACGATAAGCTGCGAGTTGGTCGTTTGGTCACACACAAAATATGTCGTCCACATAACGCTGGTGGAACTTCAAGCTTGAAATGACAGCTTTTAGTGGGCCACGATCGAGCATTCCCAGATAAATGTCCGCCAACAATGGTCCTAGTGGTGATCCCATTGCAACACCATCGATGTGTCTATACAGCTCACAGTGAAATTGAAACTGGACATTGTAGGTGCATCTGAGGTGAAGTTGTTTCAAACGACAAGTTGGTAAGTCAAGGTTCGTTCCTTCCTGGTCAATGTAATTACACAGAAAATTGGTGTTTCTAACAGAGGCACATTGGTAAATAGCGAGATAACATCAAGGGAGAACGTCCAACTACACACTGAGTGTATAATGATGAGGTAGCTGAGTCAATGTTTTTTAACAGATCGTCTGGTAGCGTTAGACGGACTAGTGAATTTGCACGATTCGTGCCAAATAGACTACTTGCACAGGATTGATGGCTGACCATTCACGCGGAGTCATATCGTGCACAACACCGCAGTTGATTAGGTAATACCACAGGATAACCAGCAACTAGATGGTGTGGCGAGTGGAAAGGAAGCAACTAGCCAGAGTATCGGTGTCAATGAGTGACGTTGTTAAATGTAGTCAACGGAATTTGCTACACTAATGTCTAAAAGCCATATCGGAGATGCAGCAAGCACGGAGTAAGTGGCACCCTAGTATTCGGTAAATTACGTTTATATTACTAATGAGTAGGAGCAGGTTAATTTTAATTTTTTTCCTCCCAGGAGCTCAAAAACTACATAGCACAGCCTAGCCCGGAAAAGCACCAGATGCGTTTCGACCTACTGGGGCTCGTCAGTGGTGCGGATTCCCTTGGGTGTTTCAAACTTTTCGATAGATACTAGAATTTCAGTGTTTCCTGTTGTTTCGTCTAGAAATTGTGTCGTCACACTGCATTTCGATGTAAGACTTAAGCTACCAGTGAACTCAGGTTAACATGGACTAAAATTTTATCGACGGAAGCCATGGAATCGATACCGATAATATGTGGTGAGCATAAGCACAGAATAAACAGATGAGGGTAGAGAGTCGGTGCTTTAAGAAAGTATGACGAGTACTGAATACAACAGCAGTGTGAGAAGCAGAAGGCAGTATGAATACAATGTGATGTGAATACTGGCAGAAGGATGAGCGCATCAAAAAAGCTAAGCAGGATTCCACGACTCGTGAGGAAGAAAATGAGCGTAATATTTCGCCAATTCACCCAACGAACCTGAGTAATGCAGAGAAATGCAACTGAGGTGATCACTGGAGATGTCCAAACGCAAGTGACGTAATTCGCACTGCTGTACCAGATCGTAAATGCGAACAGAACGTGAGCTGGAAACAAACAACTGTGGTTTCCCGGTCGGGTGGAAAACAGCCTGACGCCAGTTGGTCAGCCTGCTAGATGAGGTGAACGGCGATTGGCTAGACATCTTAGACAGACGATGCAACAGCAGGCGCTTCACACAGCGGGAATGAGCGGTGTCGGACAAGATGGGTCGCGTGACAGACACCAGATAGTCACCCTTCAGATGCCAGTCAAGGGAATAAATCGGCTAGACAGGAAAACAAAAAGAAATTAATGTTGCGAAAAACGTTGTCACAGACATTTGACAGTACGAGAACAATCTTGTTAGACTGCATTGTTTCGATGTACCAAGTATAGAGTATAAAAAACGAAAGGAAACATGCTTCAGATAGGTTGTTAACAACCTAGTGTGTGATTGACAACGATCTGGTAGCCGAATGTGGGAAACATCAGAGGTACGATACCAGGGTTTACTCTAATTTATCGTCGTTGTACCGTGGTACAATACAATAACAGTCGCTGTCGATTAACAATACGGAATTCTGTCCGAACAGGGTCGATAGTTGTGTAACAGCCGAATTCATCTGTAGTACAGATATCTTTGACCATTAGGCTAAATTGGGACCATCATACTCTGAGCAGACAAAGAGAAAGAAAAGAAACTACGGGGTTTCCGGGGTTCCTTAAAAGACAGGAAAGGAGGGATACTCAATTACCCACCTGGTGACGTATCCACTACAATACGTATAGGTGATCGATGGTCAAAAATGAAAGGTATCATAAAAAGAAAAAAACGTTATTCTACTCTAGGATGTTGTGTGATAAGAGCATGTGCAAGTAGAACAATCCTGTAAAGATACCGGAACTCGTTAACAATGTCAACATCGGTGGGGAAAAAGAGATTACGGACAGCCAGTAACGTATACAAGCAGATGGACTATAATTCAGTGCTCTGTATGAGCAGTTACGTATTATAAGGAAACACAAAGTGTTCTATACAATTCGAAGTCCTCAAATCTGTCGGGACTCTCTTGACCGAGTCTAGGAATGGAGGTCTATGCGTAGCGTAGTTCAGTGTTTTGTGTCCGTTGGTTTAGTCAGTTCGTCATTGTCCCAAAGAATTTTGTCGAACACCAAAAGGCCGGTCGGTGTACATCATTGTGCGTTATCCGTGCTTTGCTAGTTTCAGCATATAATCAACGCACGGGTGGACTTAGGGGCGAGTCATCATCATCGCCATTATACACGTTAGATGCGTTTTCCGTGATTCTGTGTGAGTAAATTGCGAGTCATTGTTTGCTGAGAAAACAGATAAGAGAAACATCCAGTTCCATAGTATGACTCACTTGTTCTAGAGAGACGGTCACACGGTTCAGTTCCCGAGTTTTTGATCGAACTGTGCCGGATTGACAATCGGGAGGTTTTTGCATGGACCATTCGGCAGCATTTACCAATGGCACGTCCGAAGCCACGTCATCCAAGCGAGCAACCTTACTTGGTACATTACCATCATCCTGAGGAGGTTTTTAGTCCGACCAATATAGAGGTGATATTGAGAAAAGTAGAACAAGAAAAGTATAGTGGGAAAACTAAGTGCTAACATCAAACGTTCGGAGAACAGCTTAAATAGGTTAACAACAAGCAACTGAGCGAATCGATTCGAGTACGGATCACAATATCTATAGAAACGGAGTAACAACTACAGAATATCATGAATACCGTTTTAAAGTTTCCATATCCAACCCCTTGAAGAACAAGCTATCAAAAAACCAATTGGAAGCAGCCCGGGGAGAATATCGCTTTATCTGAACTCCGGGTGGAGCTAGCTAGCAACAATGACCGTCGGACAATAGGAGAGAACAGTGAATATCCCAATCATTCTAAATAGTGCTACTTGTGGCAGAGATACCATTGGGCTCGGCGACACGACGTTGACAGATATGATCCGGTCCCGTAGCACTCGTCACCCAATAGGAACGATGTACTTTACATGGTCTGCAGAGTGCGAACACTCGTGTGTCTCTGTGTCCCAGTGATAGCGATAACTGTAAGAAGCAACGGAGCAGTCATGCTCAGGTGTTTAATCATGTCAGTGTACGATGATATTGTGGCTGGCTTGCCGAACAACCTCCTCGTGGTGCCAGCGGGGTGGTTCGGGATTTTCCCGTTCCAGCAAATGGTTCGATGGCAGTGTTCCAGGACGTGGTGGGTTTTCGCCTGGCAAGCGTTCGCCCTATAAAAAACCACATATGTCCGTTTAACAACACTGTGACGTGGCGGACGTGACTCGCCACCAAATAAAGTCACTGCCCCTTGTTTCATCCTGGCGAAGCATTGTATTCCAGCTAATTTATGCTGTAATTCTGGGGAGCATTGGACGCCTGTTTGAGAAAAGAACAAACGAAAGGCGTTTGAACTGTGCAATCAGTCACCGGCTCCCAATGGACGCGATTCCCTGAATGCGCTCCGCTGTCTTGCGGGCAGGCTATTCAGCCAAAGTCTCAGAGTGGTGACCCCTAAGTCAACACCCTACTTCGGCTTGGGCAACCCGGTAATATCTCGCCCTCTGACGAAACCATGGACTTTTATGTTTTGTGTTGTGTTTTCTTTTACTATTTCTGTACCCCATGGTTTCTGATGGCTTTATGTCTATTCGTAGACCGTTGCAATATATATATATATATATATATATATATATATATATATATATATATATATATATATATATATATATAGTTGGCGGCATCCGGTTTCGGATTTGCATGTCACTGTGGCAAGCCACAGGACGCCTGCGCCTACAGAGGGACCATGGATGGCTTGCGCTGCACCACCCACAGCTCCAACCACACACCCCATATCCAGTGTAAACCCGAAGGAATAAGACCGGGAGGCATGCGGTTGGGAGCCACGTTTCATCAACGGAGCCGGCCCACACTCCTTCACAGGCAAACACAAGCACACTGTATTTGGGGAATCAACCGCACACAAGGCGGTGGCTGGACCGTAGTCCGCTCCACACTGAGTGCATGGAACCGCTCTTTGAGCCTAGCACGGCCACAAGGACCGTGCACCCCGTCCCCTCCAGCAACGACCAACTGTCTCCTGGAGCCAGTATGGACGAGGTAGTGGGTAATAGACAGGTAGGCACCTTGTCAACATGCACATCAAGCGCAGCCACACCGGGGATATCAAACAACAGCCAATCACTTGAGAGAGAGAAAGAAAAAGAGAAAAACACGATTAATGCATGAGGAAACGGTGACATAAACCTTAATTAAATAGCATACGTAATAAGTTGTTTACAAACACATCCTAGCTAAGTGCACGAGGTCAGGAAGTATAGTTCACGGTATGCCACGAACACAAAAATGTTATGGAAATCGGATACAATTGGCTGAAGCGATGTGTGCAAGTTAATGGAATAGAGTACAGGGAGATATTTATATGAGAAAGAAAAGCAGTAAGGTAAAAACTGTAAACCCACCACCTGAAATAAAGAGACTTAGCATGCAAGCACGCGGTTAGTAAATCGAATTCAGCGTGCCTACAAACGCTGCGCCGGCTCGCCGTAATTCTCTGCAGGACCCGTCGTCGCTTCTGTAGTGGCCCCAAAGGACCTAGCTCATGGCCCAATAGATATTTATATGAGAAAGAAAGGAATTAAGTATACATATATATATATATATATATATATATATATATATATGTTGATGTTGTATACTTTCAAAACACAAGCTGGAAGTGGAGTCGGTGCGCGTTCCCGTGGATCCGGGTTGACGACAAATTCGACGTACGAGTTAGACTGCTGTGATGTGCAAGCCTGTAGAATAACGTCGAGTGCAAGTTGTGGAAAACCGGAAAGTACGTGTAGAACCAGCTGATTACGTTAGGACAAATTGAGGTTACCCAAATCAGTGGTGCTTTCGGACACCTGCAGCAATGAAGCCTAAACCCAAGGGCGAGGGAAATACAAACTATTACGACAAGGATTCCAGCGTGTGGCAATTTTGGGTATCAGTCTGTGGAAATTTATGTGGCACACTGAAGTGATGCTCGGAAGTGGTATGAACGGACCAGATCGCATACTGATTTTTCGGTATGAACAAGGCTGAGGAAAGCGTATGAATGATGCATCTTTAGCTGTTCGCCTGTGCGTTACCTCGGCAGATTGCACAGTGCATGAGTGTGTGATTCGTTTCTTACCTCCCCGGCGCTCAATGGCACATGCACTCCATGTCAAAGAAAACGTCCACTTGGATGGAATTCAGCGCATCCTACCGAATGCTTACCTACCAAACGCTTCTGCACATACATAACTAATTGGGCTTACGATATACTTCCACTGCTTCGTACTTGTTTCCCATTTCAATCCGGAGGCAGATGAAATATGGTCGAGTGAGCACAGACATAATGAATGCAGGTAAGCGGAAAGTGAGCTACCAGGAGACGGTCAAGGTGAGATTGTCACAAACCTACTTAGATATCAAGTGTTCGGATAAAAATGAAAGTGTACTGGGATTTTCGTCAAGCAGTAATGGAGAATTGAGAAGCAAGATGCCAGAAATGGAAACAGTAGATGCAACATGTGGTTGTATGCGTCGCATCCACTATCAGGATGGTGACTAAGAACACAAGTAGCAAAAAATGATGAGAGTTATTTGGCGCAGTACAAAAGTTGCAAAAAGGACATCGACTAAAGAGGCCTTAACTGGAGCACCCAATTGTGGTGACTGATGCCACACAAGTGCACACTCCTGCAAGCAACCCACACAAGTGAGTGTGAGCATGCTCTGCTACACACGTGAAATTTATTTCCACGTGGCACGGTAATTATGTATCCTTACTACACAAGTCCTGGAAGGGCGTATACTCATTTGATTCTAGTGTCGAATACCGACTATAGGGGCAATCAGTCCGTGAGGAAAGGGACAAAGTTCCCAGCCATCACGGGTGGTTCAAAGAAGGCTATAGGCCAACAACTGTTCTGTTTACACGTTGCATCGTAATCCGGAGGTCACCAGTTCGAAGCGGCGTAAGTGTAGACGACCTCTCGCAACCTGTGATTGTTGCGTGGAGGCGAAATGTCAGTACGGTGTGACGACGTTCTGCTGATGCCTCCTGGTATGTGCCCTTAACCAAATGGTTGCATCAATGAATGGCGAACGAGTACTGACGCTAGACGAGTCAAAGACCCACAAAAGACACATACGCTCTAGTGGGGTAATTTGCCTCGACAGCAGAGAGAGGTTGGCGGATTATAGCCTAATCGGGGTAAGGTGAAACTCGCACTGTTGAACAAATGATGAAACGGCCGCAAAGCAATTTCTGGACTGGGGTGTCTGACTGGGATTGGATGTGATGAGCACAACATAACCACAAAATTGATAGAAATAACTATTTTACCAATACTGTTGAATCGCCAGATTAGCGAGCGATAAATGGTCACAATAGTTAGGTAGATGGCTGACAACTGTCTGGATGACATTCTTGCCAAGGTACACGCAAAGCAAGGAATGCGAGCCAAATCAAATCCTCGTCACAAAAGAACATTTATGCGACCAGCAGTGTGCATCTGATGGATAAAAGTGATCAAAAGACAGTTCGATTACGCGGCTGGCAAGAACACCGAAATGGCAAACTAATAGTTGGTCCAATAAAAGCAGAAATGCGAAATGGGCGACACATGTTTTCACGTTCTAACAAGTATTAAGTGCGGTGGAGCAAACAAACAGGTACTTCCTAGTCAGATGTTAGGAGAAAGTAATCACGTTCACGGGTACAACGGGAGACGATAAAACATGTGGGTTTCCCCGGAAGGTAGATGGGTTAAGAAAACAACCCAGTTAAGCTAAAGAATAGTATGAGATGGAAAACAAGGTATGATGACAAGAAGCCGCATTGAGAATAGCAGCTGTTTATAGAACAGTCAAGCTTTACGATTTCGGGCCAACAGTTTGAAAGATGGTTGATCGTTGCACGAGGCGTACTGAAGGATAGTATGCAATCGACTTAGGTTCATATGAACGACGTTCGTACAGTGACCGAGAATGTAACAGTGTGGAGATGTGCTCTACATCCGTGAGTGGTTCTAATCAATGCGAGATATAAAATGAATATGAAGAATGGATTTCTGATTGAAGCCCAGACGTTGGTTTTGATTCACGGCAGGCCACGCGACACATGGGGAGGAATGGCGTCAGTAGGAAAGCGTGAAAGAAGCTACCAGTAGATGGTTCACGAGATATAGAAATAACAAACGTAAGAGGGGGACAAATTATGTTCAAGCTGGCGTAGTCCATAACCTCATACCTTCAAGAAGATCGAGTGCAACTATACGAGACCATGTGGGGGACACGTTGCTTCCAGAACATCACCACATGGATTTGTACGCGCCTTCTGATGTAGACACTCTGGACAACGTACCAACCAGTGTTCCACATCCGAAAGAGGTAGAAGCATCAGAAGGACAAGGGTGCAAGAATGGTACATAGAAAGCGCATACGTCTGGTGAGGAGGTGACTCACCTTAATAGCACTCTCGGTTTCAGACTGCAGAGTGTCTCTTGATTTCCACCATTGCTGAAGGTCACGGTCGGTCTGCTCTACGCGCACGCGATCCCCCAGGGCTGGGTTGATAAGGAATATAGTGTGACCACTGGGGAAGGTGAAAAAGTCGCATGATACGCATGTCAAACAGGTCAAATGTAAGACAAACGTAGCTATGAACAACTGAGTAGGCAAGAATCCCGAAGACCAGGGTGAGTTCAACACAGTCGTGAGTACCATTTAAAAAGCGACCAATTGTAATCGATACACGTGTGACAATAGCTTTTCTCGTGGCCCGAATGGAATACCGTCTGGTGTGCTCAAATTGGGAGGCCCTGATGTTTTCATACTGCTTCAAAGTGGTTTTACAGTATCCATGAAGTCTGGGGTTGTTGCAGGTGTGTGAAAATATGCGCTAATTTCACCACGATACAAAAGTGGCCCATCAGCTATACCTCCATTCAGTGTAGAACAATGGAAAGGGCAATGAAAGTCAAAATCGTCGAATTCCTATCGTCCCGGGATTTGGTCAACACTTCACAGTACGGATTTCTGAGAACATGGTCACGTAGTACCTGCCAAGTGCAATTTCTAAACTTAGTTACTCGTTCCATTGACAGTGATATGTGCCTGATCATCACACTCTTTGATATGCGTAGAGCATTCGATCGGGTACCACATAAAAAACCCTAAGGAAAATGCATTCTTTCGGTATAACTGGCAATTTACATTGTCGGATATCATCGTAACTTTCTGATCGGCATCAAACAGTAGAAATACTATGCAATACTTTCGCAAGTAGAAAAATCACAAGTGATGTGGTCCAAGGAAGTGTTCTAGGGCCAGTTTGTTTTGGATGTACATAAGCGACGGTGTCATCAAATACGGTAAACCTTATATATTTGCTGATGACAATAAAAATTTTCGACTGGGACAATATTATTTTAACGCCCCAGCCGACCTACTAGCGGATCTGCACGAGCTGGAAACTTGGTGCAGCAAATGGAAAATCGAACTCGCAGCTGCATTTGCTATCGGTGCAGTACGGCACCAAATGCTTAGATGCTAGACGGTAAAATCCTGTCCCCGTCTCACTATTCGTGATCTTGGGTTACACTATTCAGGCTCCTACAATTTCGCCGCACGGGCGCAGTACACGGTTGCAAAAGTCCATACACTAGGAGGGATAATATTAAAATCTTTTGCTTTGAATGAATCCAAAATCTACTTATATAAAACTCCTATTTGTCCGCTTTTAGAATATTGCATTAATATACGACAACCTGAGAAAAGGTGATAGGACATCAATAAAAGATGTACAGCGCTCCTTTACGAAGCGCCTAATGAGAAACTTTGGTGATCTTACTTAGTATGACCGCTGCTGTGAGATGAACATCAAACCCCTCTGGTTACGGAGATAAAAACGAAACCTTAGCTTCATGATGATATGATACACAAACGCGTCTTTACATCAAACATCGAGGTTGCACTTCAACTTTCCTTCAAGTACAATATAAGGAATAGACATAACCGGTTACCAATCGAGAAAGCATGAAATAGCTCAAGATCAAATTTATTTCTTAACCGCTATGCATTTTTATGGAACAAATTATCACAGAATCTGATGACGTGCGACTCAAAGAGTGCTTTTCGTACTGTACACAACAGGGAATTGACAGTGAACAGAAGGACATGCTCAACATAGACGCGAGTATATTCACGTAGTTTGAAGAAGGGCCAAGCACCATATAGCAAATGAAAAAATTTACTAATCCGGAGCCAACCCAACTCTAGCACATTTTTATTTATAAAAGAACCTTTGCTTGCACTTATAACTATTGTTCGTTCGGAGGTATCAACGAACTAATTACGGAGTGATTACCGAAACCCGTCCACATCACATTCTGCGCACCTCGGCTGCCCCATATGGCTGAAATTCTGAAACATCGACTCGTGAACACTTTCCTTATGAAAGGATTAAACCCAAACTCTTCTTCACGATTCAATTGCAAGTTGAATCGGATTAATGATACGGCCCGTGTCTCGCACTATCAAAATATAAACTGTTGTTTTAGTTTAAAAAAAATTCATTTTGAGAAGAAGCGCTTTCTTTTCGATAACTCTCGTCAGGCATTACATTTCATTTCTGTTTATTTCTGTTTCTCTTTTGTAACAGCATACTGTAATATTAAATAGTTCTTCTTTCCCGGAGACGACAGCCCAGAAACAGAGAGCAAAGTTCATTGACAGCGCTGTCAATTGCTGTTTTTATCGGACGCATTCAAATGATAGTGAACCAGAAAATTCGTTTCAGAACTTCGAAACAGTAAGAAGAAACATATTAACAGAATTTACGGAATTCAACAATTTCCCGTGTTCTCCTCAGCTGTTTACATATACTTATTAGAATAAACAGGTTGCATAGCGAAGGCAATCAGAGTGCGATGTTAACGGCGAAAATTCAAAGCAGTTGAAGACCATTAGGCTCACGTGACCTGTCCTGAGGAAAACATGATCACAAGCCTTACCACGGGAGGGCTAGCGTGGCAACGAAACCCGTTTGCCTGCCGAACTTTGGTTTCAACCGCCGAATCGCCGATGCCCGGTCATGTATTACCTATCAAGTACAAGTTCTAAACTTCTTTACTCGTTTCCATGACAGTGGGATGCGCCTGGACATCATATTTCTTGATATGCGTAGAGCGTTCGATCGGGTACCACATGGAAAGCTTCTATCGAAAGTACGTTCCTTCGGTATAACTTCCGTTCAAAAGAGATCAAGTTGACAGATGCCAGCATCGCCTGCGTCAATCAATTCAGAAGTGTTACTATGCGGCTAGTATTATTGCACCAAGTCAGAAGGATGCTCTGTAAATCCGACATGGATAGACCGGACTCTCTAGTTACCACTTCATGCATCTACCTCTTTAACTGTACTTGCGGTAGCAGGTACATGGACCGAACTGAGAGAAGGCAGCCAGCGATGATTGCAGAGCATGCCCAGCAAAACATGATCGCTAATGGCCCAAAGCTACCAACTACCTCTACTGCCCGCCACATACTTGATTGCCCTGAAGGCCAAAACCCACGTGGCAATCCCAGGGTAGTTAGCAAACAAGCTACTCCTCGCTACTTCATTTTGCTGAGGCATCCGCGATTCGGCGGTTGAAACCAAAGTTATGCAACCAAACGGGTTTAGTGGCCAAGCTGGCCCTCCCATGGTGAGGCTTGTGATCACGTTTACCACAGAACGGGTCACGTGAGCCTAATGGCCTACGACCGCTTTGAAGTCTCGCCGTTAACATCGCACTCTGATTATCTTCGCTAAGTGACCTGTGTATTTCACTAATTGTATATAAACAGCAAAAGAGTATGCGAAATTGCTGAATTCAGTAAATTCTGTTATTACGTTTCTTGCTGTTTTGAAATTTGTGAAGAGAAATGTCTGCATGAAATTTCTAAGGAAACGTCTCCCTCCTGGTACATTTCGCTCCATTCAGAACTGAGTTGGATATCGACACTATGAGTAGTCATCTGTTTGTGACACTTCGCTTGCACAATTTGATCGAGCGCTTTTTCTTGCGCAGAAGCAAAACAGGCTATTGCGGTATTAGATAACAGCACTGTTACCACCAGCTCACCTCCACATATTTTATATTCTGCTTTAGGTTAATGTTGGATACGACTGAGGCGATCTCCTAAAGTGACGGAATTAAGCTTACAAAGCAAGTAAGTATACCTATCAAATGCACATTGTTATTGGCTCACAGGCAAGAAAAACGTGCTTGATTCAAGAAAACCGATTGATGGTACGGGCTAGATGACTTAACTGTCCACACTGAGCATACACAAAAAGTGCATTGAAGATGAGTTACATAGGTGATGGCATACTTGCTTTGAAAGCCACACCAGTACACGGCCAGGTGGGGCATGGAAGTACGCGTGAAACCAATCGAGGGAATAACCTGCATGGGAGCAGGTCCCTAGGAGACGGTTCCATAGATGGCCGTATTACTTCAATTACACATTTGGATTTATGCACCCACATTATTTTTGACAACCCATCAGACTTCCCAAAAGATTTAACCAATCAATTTGCCATATCCGCCAAATAATAGTTTGAAAACTGCTTTTGATAAATAGAAAAACAAAACATCGGCTCCTTACGATTCCATCGTACATCAAGAATGTGAATATCTAGTTGGATTGTACCTCGCATCAAAGAGGAATATACCATTGTTTTTTATTCACCACAACTCCACACTGTACATATATGATCTGTGCCAAATATGGACGCAGCTTCTCATTTAAACAGAAATGTAGCTATTAGTAGTACTGTGAGAAACCAAGTTTTTTATGTGAATGCGAAAAGTGAATTTCAAACAATAAATTGAAATTATACTTAGCCGATTCTCCGTGAAACAGAAGCTACGAGGCACTAGCTCGAGTCGAAAACGAGCAACTAGGTTTCGCAGGAGGCCAAATTACACCATCACGATACCGCTCGTCGGGAAATATACGGGTGTATCTATTTATTTAGAACTGGTATTGGATCCCTTCGGGGCGTGTTTGTGTGTTGTTGTAGATAATTTTCCAGTGAACGACAAAGTGAGACGAGTCAGCAGGCAAAAGATGGAATGTCACACTAGCACAAGTGTGTGGTGGTTCTTGATCGAAACAGTACCGATATAAGTAAGCAATGGGGCGTGAGATGACAACAAAAGATGGGGAGGCGAATCGTTATTTGTGCCTACTTAAAAGACCATTGGAAGTGCTGTAAGAATTATCGAATAAGTAATGCATTTGCAGTTACATGTAAACTGCTCACAACTATCATACAACGGACGCTCATTGGGTGTTTTGAAAGTGATCAAGAAAAATGGTGGAAAGATAAAATGAGCAAACATTCGGATAAGAGAAAGTGGGGCGAAAATAATAGCACCGGCTGAATGGGAGACAAGTAGAAGAAAGAGAAGATATTAGATGCCCCCTGCATGAAAAAGCGACCCTAGAGAAACGGAAAAAAACGACTCAGTGTAGCAAATAGCATCCCTTACAGAATGGTGTAAAGATATCGGACTGATTTCAGCACCTGCAAGCAAAAAAACGCTTACATGGCAGCGGCTATCAAATGTAGTTCTGGCTTCGGATTCCAAATGACCGTAGCCGTAGGGCGCTCAGCAGTGCAGGTGTCATCCGGGTCATCCGTGTTAGCTGCCTGACGAATTTGTCCAGCTTGACGATCAGCTATTGGTGGGACCAAAGAATAGCAGCGGAAGCAATAGTTGGATGACGTCTCCCAAATACGCAGGCAACCATCCTCCGGAGAAATAGAGGCCAACCACTGTCCGCACGCGGAAAGTGATAGTCCAGTGATGCGTCCAGTGTGACCGCTATAGAAGATTGTATGATGTCAAAGTCATTCAGTAAAAAAGATGCTTAGACATAGTACAAAAAGTGCACCAGTAAAATTATCTTTCGTAATTCGAATGCAACAAGCAGACCGTTTAATTCGCGACGAATTGAGATGCGGTCAATTGCAGGGCTGCTCATGATATTTCCGATTTTGCTGCATTATCAGCCCGTTGAAACACAAGAAATCAACAAACCCAAAATAGAGCTAGAAATTTGCGTTGCGCGGCATGGTTAGAAGTGCATACAAATCAAACAATGGCTGACTAAGAAAATGTTAATCCGGGTTCATGATGTAAGCCTTGTTGGTATCCTGAATCAAGGAAACATGTTCCTTTCGATCGATGCGACTGTGGTACAGAGAATGTTTTAGAAGACGACTGATGTCATCAAAATCGTCGGGATTTCCTTCGAGTTAACAATTCCTCTCAGGGTATCGCAAAACAAGCGGAAGTGGATTAGGGGCGCAGAAACTAAAAATGAAGTATTCACTTACAAGATAAAGAAATGTGGCATTGAACTATCTCAAAAACGTTTAATAGTAAAAAGCGAATGTGCTAAAAGATAATGATGTTAACGAATAGAAAAAATCCGGTGTGATATATTTGAGCCGGTCTCTTTGGGATATATAGTTAATATACAACGGTCAGTCAGAATCTACAGGTATGTAGAGAGCAGGAGAAATCTCATTTTTATGCGCGCAAGTAGTTGTAGCTGAGGATATAATGGTCTTAACATATTGTCATAAAAATCGAGCGTCGAATGCCATGGACTCACAAGTCACAATAGACAGACGTCTTAATCGAAGACATGGAAAATGAATTTATTAAAGAAGATCAAGGGGAGTAAAAACATCGAAGTGTTAGGTGGGAAAAGCTAGGCTCTAATATAACAACGTAGGAGTGGAACGCATAGAAAGTGGAATGTTGGTTCTAGAAGCCACCGAGGTAACCGTGTTGACACGACTTAACGACAAGTATTTTGCAACGTAAGGAAATAAGACGATGGGTAACGGAGAAACATGGTGAAGCAATGTTCGAATAGATGAGAGAGTAGATCACTAATTAAATTGGTTTCATTAAAATTCCGACGTACCAGTGTTGTGCACGGCTGATCGGAAAGATCGGTAATGGGGTATTGGCAAGATAGCAACGCGACTGTTATCTGTCGTCCAAACTGTTTAGCTGCATTCAGCAGAATGAACAATTGATTTACATCAGTTTTGAACTGATAAGTGGATTGACTTGCTCTGAGTGTGGAAATGGATTGCATATAACTGAGTAAGGTACGATGAGGAAGTTGTACGTACTTGCAATCTAAACTTTCATGAGGAAGAATAGATATTTTGTCCCTCAAGTTGCAATAACTATCCTCCCTAAAATTCAGCTCCTAACTTGAGCTGAAGTGCCGATAGTGTGTCAGTTTATAAGAGATTACTAGTCTCGTTCTAAGTTTTCCGTAGACGAAGTGATTCGATGTGCATTAGCGGCGAATCATCCATAAAGATTTGCAAACGTCACAGTGATAGCAAATCAATCATGCACATGTGTATGGACTGGGCAACAGCGGGTGGTGAACACAAACGGGATAATGAGCTAGCTTAACTTTGTGTAGGACTGTTGGGTTGTTGATACGGCCTAAAGCGCATCTTCCCATTGTTAACCGTCGTTGAGCATGAGTTAAAAAGTTTAATAGGTCAGTATAGCTTATTTACAGAACACGAACGAACCGATTGGTATGAGTTAAATCCCATCCATAGAACATGCATAGTACATCTATGACGGAGGACTGGGGCATTGTCTATGACCACCGCAACGAGACTGAACCTTAGCATGGTGCGATGGTTTGCGTACCCCTGTGACCCATTGAGCCACGATGTGTGGTAATTTCCAAATGCCTTCAGAGCCACTCATAACAGACAGGTCAATGGTTAGGGATCAAACTAACTCAGTGTCACAATCCAATCTTATTTGGAAATTAGGGAGAGGTCGATGGCCCTAAGCATGGGAGACAACAGGTCTATGAGTTAGAACCTCACAGCTCGATTGCCGTATAGCACGAGCGGCACACACTGTCTCCCATGGTGGGAGGGCACCTTCCGGTACTCAATGGTTTGCTACCGACCGCCTCAAGCCAGGCAGCCTCTGGTCAAATTAGTGCAAACCAGCTAACTCCTACAAGTGGCTTGCCGAGATCACAGGTGCGTAAAACACAAGCGAATTGTTCCAAATCTTCAAAGGCTGTGTGACAGGCCTTGTGCCTCAGGCTATGGAACCGAAGGCTCCGGGTGCAGTCCCTCAGGCGAACCATTATACCTCCCACTGCCTTGTGGGTCAGACTGTTGAGTCAAAGGCTAGAGGTAGGGCACCTCGAACAAAACCCCTCTATCGGAATGAGCAGCAGCAATGTCAGCTCACCTCGTAATCACATCGACAATCCTCCCTCCTATTTTGCTCCCCTCAAGCTTTTCTTCCTCGTCTATTGGGCAAGAAGCTGCCGCTGACGTCGTTGCTTCTGCCATCGGTAATTGCAACTAAGCCATCAAACCATGAGTTTCATTTCACAATGGTTCTTTTAACATCGGTACTTTAGGTCAGATCGGTCATTAGGCAGAACCAACCCCCTCTTCACTCTCTTGATATTTATGTGTGCTATGTCGCCGAAACACGCTTACAAGATAACAGCGTTGTGACGAATCTTCGACTCCCCAATTGTGAATCTGACGACAATGGTTACACTCTTCGCCTCTCTGGTGATACCGAGTCAATGTCTCAAGGTATGTACGATGTTTGTATCGCTCTCAACAGACATGCTAAAGGCAGTCCACTCGACTGGATATCGGTGAACAGCCGCATGTGTGCAGTTTGACTTCGTAACTCCATTGGGGTTATTCAGCACCGTATGAAGGCAAGGTGCCGCTTCATCGCCAACGTTTGCGCTCCTGCTGACTGCAGTTCGGGGCGTTCCACAGATGATTACTACCATGTTTACTGTTTTCTCCGCAAGGCGAGGAATACTGACGTCGTGATTGTTGCTGGTGACTTGAATGCCCAAGTGGGTCTTCTTGGAGATTCTGAACAGCACCTGAGAGAGCGCTTCGGAGTCGATGCACGCCGAACAGACCATTTTGATCGATTCCTGCAACTGTGCGCTGACCACAATCTTTACCTTAGCAGCCCTGCTTTTCAGCAAAAACGTTCACACTGCGTCACCTGGCGCCCACCGAATTCCTTAGTGACCTAGAGCAAAATTGACCATATTGCCATCAGCTACAGGTGGCGCACAACAGTCCAAGATTGTCGGTCAATTTGGATCACCTGCCTGGATTCCGACCATACTTTAGTGAGCGCACACTTGGCGCTCACTCTCCACTTCAAAGAAGCGCATCTGTTATAATCTTCTTACCTGTAAGTTGAACTCGCAGTCTGCGGTTCAACAATATGAAAACTAACTGGACCACCAGTTGTCAGTGGTGAAAGGTTGGTGAGCCGAAGGCTGACTGGGATCGTCTCAAGTCTGCTAGGAAGTATACCGTTGAAGCATGCTGCGCACTCGACTTGAGACGTTGTAACTGTGAATGAATCTCTGAGGTATCGATCAGTTTGGTCGAAGAGCGTAAACGGGTTCAATTAATACTGAATTTCAGCGTATCCGCAGCCCCCTGAAACGACGTCTGACAAGGAGTCTTCGCGTTGACCGGGAACGTTAGTGTGTTGCAAAAGCCTGTGAGATGGAGAAAGCCAGTGCTATTGGAAATAGCCAGGTGCTATTCCAGCGAATCCGGATAACGGATCCTAGAAAGCTATCAGTTAGCGAGACAATAGGTGAGAAAGATGGTGTTGGTCCATTCTCAGCGTCGTCGAATAACCCATTTGGCGGAACATTTTGAGGAGAAGTTCAGCAGGCTTGCTGCGACACTGCCGCCTGCCGAATCTCCTGAGTCGATGTGGGAAGTATATGTCATATCTCTCACTTTAGAAGAAATTCGACACGAGGCCGCCGTGTTAAAACGAAACAAGGTTCTTGGACCCGACGACCGTCCCTCATTTTTGCTGAAAGATTGCGGTGTCTCTTTGTTGACTGGACTTAGGGCATTAAAGAAGTGCCTTCAGACTGGCGACTAAAAACTGTCGTGCCTATGTTCAAGGGGCGTAAGCGCACTTTGTGCAAAAATAAGCGAGGCAGTAGCCTCATTTCCATTGCCTCAAAATTTTTGACGGGTATCATTTTTCAACGACATACTGGTCCCCATGAGGACCGAATCACTGAAAGCCAGGATGGCTTCCGCCTTGACCGCGGTTGCATCGACCACATATTTACTCTTCGCCAAGTTTTAGAGCAGAGACACATGCAGACGACCGACTGTGGTGGTTTTTTCATTTAAAAGTCCCCTTCGACTCTGTTGACCGCTCCGGCTTGTAACACTGCCTATCCATGACGGGCATACTAGTTAAAGTTTCCATTCTGAAATCCCTCTACCGTGATTCCCGAGGCCGTGTAAGGGTCTGGAGGAAACTCGCCCCTGAGTTCCCCACGATAAGTGGAGTTCAGCAGAGTTGTCTTACATATCCTTTCCTCTTCAACTTTGTGATCGAAATAATCATGAATGACTCAGTTCTTTCAGACTATGATGGAGTGACAGTGCTGGCAGACGACCGACTGACAAACCCGGAGTATGCGGACAACATAGGTCTCCTTGGGTCTGATGCATTGGCTATGCAAACACTACTGCACTGACTTTTGCGTAGCACTGCACGCTCCGGAATGTAAGTTGCATCTTCAAAGTGCAAAGTTCTCTTACAGGACTGGGCCGATACACCGGTTTTAGCTATTTCCGAGTAGCCATTGATTGGTAGCTTTGTCACGTCTGGTGGTCACATCATTGAAGAGGTTACTTCGCGTATTAGCAAGGCCCGTGTGGCTTCCCAGAGGCTCAACCATCTAGGGAGACGGCGAGGTACCAGCTTCTCAGTTAAACATA